ATTTTTTCAAGCATAAGTAGTTAATAAGCACAAATATTGTATACTATATAATACTATACAATTGTTATTAGCTGTGTTCACAGCTCATAGCAACCCTATGCATAGCAGCTCTGAACCCTGCTCTACCCCGAGCCAATCTTGCCACTTCTGACACACCTAGCTTTATTACCCCTACTATTGTGTCCGTCCTTCTCTCATCTGGGGTCTTCCTCTCCTGTGCTGCCCCTTGACTGTTCCAAGCATGTTATCCTTTTCCAAAGACTGGTCTCTTCTGGCTACATGCCAAAGTACGTGAGACAGAGTCTCAAAATCTCTTGCTACAAAGGAGCAATTTGATTTCACCCTCTCCAGAAGAGATCTGCTAGTTTTCTTGGAAGTTCTTCTCAAACACGACAATTCAAAATCATCAATTCTTATTCTGTCGTCTTGGTCATGGTCTGGCTCTCTGACACAAAACAAGTTATTGTGAAAGCCATGTTCTGGATAAGGACCTTTAGACTGATATTCTTGCTCTTCAGCACTCTAGAGGGATCCCTGACAGCAGATTTTCCCAGTGCAACTCGTCTTTTGATTTCCTGACTGGTGCCAAGAATGTTGACAGTGGAACCAAACAAGCTGAACTTGTTAACAATCTAAGTCTCTTCCATTTATCATGGTGCTGTCAATGAGCTGAGTGGTGAGAATCCTAATTTTCTTGATACTGAGCTTCAATCCATATTGCAAACCACAATCAATGACCTTCTTCAGCAAATGTTTCAGGCCCTTCTTTGTTTCATCAAGTGAGGTTGTGTCATCTGCAAAACACGGGTTGTTAATGAATCTTCCTCCGATTCTGATGCTACATTCCTCCTCATAAAGTTCCGCTTCTCAAATGCTCTGTTCTGCATACATTGAAAAGGTATGGAGACAGGACACATCCTTGATGTACCTCTTTTAAAAAAAAAAGCAACAACACTTTAAACTATGCAACATTTCTTAGCTCTGTTCTGACAACTGCCTCCTAGCCCGAGTATAGGTTTCGCATAAACACAATCAAGTATTCTGGAATTCCCTTATTTCTTAAGGTTAGCACAATTTGTTGTGATTTATACAGTCATTTGAATAGTCAATGAAACACAGATAGATATTACTCTGATATTCTATGCTTTCAGCCAAAATCCATCTGACATCGGTAATGATGTCCCTAGTGCCATGACTTCTTCTAAACTCAGCTTCTATTTTGGGTAGTTCTCTGTTCATGTACTGTTTCAGTCGCTTTTGTAAAATCTGCAGAATTTTGCTTGTGTGTAGTATTAGTGATATTGTTTTAAAATTCCACACTGTTAGATGATCTTTTTTTTGAATGGAAATAAATATGGATCTCTTCCAGTTAGTTGGCCGAGTGGTTGTCCTCCAGATTTCTTGGCACAGCCTGGTAAGCACTTCCAGGATTTCATCTGCTTTTTAAAATATGTCAATTAGTATTCTATCAATTATTGAGGCCTTATTTTTTGCCAATTCCTTCATAGCTATTGGAATTTCCTCTTTCATTACTATTAGCTCCTGAACATAAGTTGTTTCATGAAATACTTCAGTGTTGTCCAGTTATTTTTGGTACAGTGACCCTATGTGCTCTATCTTGTCTTGATGTGCTTATATTGTTTCATTTTAGCCCACAGCATCCTTACTATTTCATCTCAATGTTTGAATTTGTTCTTAAGTTCCTCCCGCTTAAGAAATGCTGAGCAAGTTCATCCCTTTTGATTTTCCAACTCCACCTCTTCACACATTTCATTATAAAACTTTGCTTTATCTTTCCTTGCTGCCCTTTGAAATCTTCTGTTCAGCTCCTTAACTTCTTCATTTCTTCCCTTTGCTTTGGCTTCTCTGTGCTTAAGTGCAAGTTTCAGAGTCTCTTCTAACATCCATCTTGGTCTTTTCTTCCTCCATTGTCTCTGTAATGACCTATTGTTTTCTTCATGGATAATATTCTGGATATCCTCCCACAGTTCATCTGGACTTTATGCATTAGTTCAAGGCCTCAACTCTATTTCTGAATTTTAGTGAGATAGACTCAAGGTCAAATTTGGTCCTTGTGGATTTGATTTCATTGTTTTTTAGCTTCAGTTTGAATTTGGATATGAGTAGTTGATGGTTTGTCCCACATTCAGCATCTGGAATACTTTTCACTCTTGATAATGAGCTTCTCTAATAATTCTCTCCACAGATGCAGTCAATCTGTTTAGTGTACAGACCATCAAGGGGGGCCCAAGCTACAGTCTGAATTTATGTATCTTATAAAAGGTATTTGCAATGAATAAATAATTACTATACAAAATTCTATCATTTTATCTCCAGCCTTGTTTTTGTCACCAAGCCCATGTTATCCAAATACTGATCATTTTTCTCCATTCCCAATTTTTGCATTTCAGTCACTCATTATTTAATCCTAGTTGCAAGTCCGATCAATATCTGACTGCCAAATTTGGGAGAAATTTTCAATTTCTTCCTCTTGGGCTCTTGCTGTTGGTACATATGTTTGAATGATGTTGGTATTGGCAGGTGTTCCTTATATGCATATGGATATTACCCTGTCACTCACAACATTGTAATTCAGGATGGATCTGGAAATAGTGCTTTTTAACTATGAATATGACCCCATTTCCTCTCACTTTTTAATTTCCAGGATAATAGATCATGTAATTTTCTGATTCAAAATGTCCCATGCCAATTCATCTATTTTATCCAATGCCTAGTATGTCAATTGTTTATGCATTACACTTCTCTGTTAACAATATCCAATTTACCTACGATTATGCTTCTCATATTCCACGCTCCAATAACAAGTTTCCGCTTTTAATTGTTCTTTCTCCTTTGTGTTTGCCAACTGGAGAGCTCAGCCTCGGGTGCCAAATTTGTCTATTGTGCATAGGATTTATATATTATATTAGGGAGTTATGGTGGCCTAGTGGCAAGAACCGGCACTGCAATCCCAAAGGCATGTGGTTTCAGGCTACCAGCTGCTCTAAAGGAGAAAGAGAAATAATGCCTTCCTGTGTAATTAACTGCCTCTGAAAACTCACTGGCAAGTCAACTATGGGTTGGTTCCAACTCTATGGAGTCAGAATAATAGATATTATTAAATATTATATTATGTAAGATGTGTACTGTAGAGTTAGATGTATTATATAATAAAAACAATAGTATGTAGTATATACATGATAGATAGTATATAAAACCTATTATTAAAGTAAATTCTAATAATATAGTATATAATAGTGTATACACTATTATAGTATATGTTACTATATATGCATGTATATGTTGTTGTTATTGTTAAGTGCTGTTGAGTCATAGGCGGCTCATATGAACAAAAGTCCTCGACACATGTGTGCATGACTTTTATCCTTTCTCCAGGTTCATAGGGTTTCTGGAGGCAAGCTATTTGCTAAAGTTGATGCTACTCCTGCTTCCAAGCTTGTTTTAATTGTCCACCATGGGTTACCACTATCACATTTGACACATCAGTGTCACAGTGTTCAGCATCACAGCAACCAAGAGTTACCTCTATACAGCAATGGACAGACCCGGGCTATATGACCTAGAAGAATGTTTGACCAAAACTAATTACCCATGTTGGACTGCACGGGAGAGGAAGACTCTTTATGAGATAGATTGATTCCGTCACTGGGGTAATGAGGATGAGCGTGTTTGAAACAATAAGATTGGCAAGGAATAGAGTAGGGGTTAGGGCTGTTGAATATAGGGTCGTTATGAGTCATAAGTGATTTGATGGCAATAACAACGACAGTGTTGCATATTGTTATAGTTGTTGCTTACCAAGTCAAAACTGACTCATAACTGACCCTCCAGCAGGTTTTAAGACGCAGTTAATTGCACAGGAGGAGGACACTGGCCACCCTTCTCCCGCAGAGCATCTGATAGGGAGAAACTGTGTGCCTTAGGAACTGCAACACAGCTTCTTGCCTCTAGGCCACCAGTGCTCATGGATAGAAAATGTCCTGTAATACATACTGATTTTATCCTAGATTTTTCTTATGCCACTTTTTTTTATTGAAAATATCGTTCTTCTAACTTCCATCAGTTTGTCAAATTCCTACTCCCACATCACTACCCAGTTCAAATCTCACTTTCTTGAAGGAATCTATAAAAATTAATTGTCATCTGGATTTCCACAATACCTTCATGTGATTTCATTACAATATAGCATTTATTATTAAACAGAAAATGTACCAACAAATATATTCCCTTTGCTTTGACATTTTTTTTTGGTCTAGAATTGTCTTTTTTTTTTTTTTAATTTCTTTTATGCTGGTTTTCTTACAAAGTTCGTATATATTGTTTTCCACACCAGACCTTTCCCATTTCCTTTACCCACCCCTCTCTCTACTCATCAAATTGTGAAACCCTATAATTACAACCCCTACCCATCCTCACCCTCCATCTCCTATCCTGCCCCCCTTGAACCCTCACACATTTTATTAGTTAAATTTCTATTTCTACAACAATAAGGAACATGAATTAGAGGAATCTCTAAGCAATCAATAAGTTCTAATTTAATGAAAGAAAAGTAATTATATTTTACAAATAGTGTATTACTAAAACAAAAAGGTAAATCCATGCATATTTAAGATATAAGATTGTATATGTTTCCAAGATCAAAAGTTAGTGTTACCTTCATTTTAAAATTAACATTAGAAGACATGGTAATTTAGTGATGATATAATATATACATTTGCTTAGGATCTTTCTTATATGTAAAATATCCACTACAATATTTTTAATGTATAACACCCACTTAGTATTAACATAAACTATTTTAGATAAAGGTAGTGTACTATATTAAAACTGAACTTCTGTTTTATCACAGAAATTTTTCATTCCTTGCTATCTGAATTAATTTGAATTTTTATAACATAAAAGAGCCTGCAGTAGTCTCTAAAAGTTTCCTTGATTAGCAGTTGATAAATATGACCAAATAAGAAATTAGTTTAATTTACCTTAATAACTAAATCAAATTTCTGGTGAAAGTCTCTGTTTACTGGTTCTAGGAGGCTGAGTACTGCAGTCCTAGGATGCATATGGAAAAACCGTGGGTAATCCTCAGGGGTACCTGAAAGACATTGAGATTTCAGCATATAATTGAGGAAAATAAGTAATATGCATATCTGTTTTATTTATTTCCTTCATTAGCCGAGGAGCAAGATTACAATTTTATTAGTAAATTAAGTTTGGAAATCATGCAGTCTCGGGAAAGCAGACTCAAATGTAGTATATTGTTAATTAAGTTCTGTACAAGAGAACAGAAAATATTTCTTGTTTGGACGTTTTTCCAAATATCTTTAAGCATGAGAGCTCTTTCTTTAATTTGAAACTTTACCACATGAGGAGTGATAGTAAGAACAGGGAAAGTGAATTTTGTATCACAGAATTATATTATGATGTTTATAAATCTTAATTATAACATGCATAGTTTTCCAGTATCACTTGTTATAAGCAATAACTGGTAGTTTGTATCAAATACCAAGATATTTGGAAAGAAAATGGAGTTTGTTTTCTTTTTCTTTGCTTATATTTTTTAAGCTAAGAATCAATCCAGTTGTGCCAAGCACATTAAGTATGAATAACAATTTCTATATTACCCTTTAAACCAGAGGAGGATATTTCTGAACACAGGCATTTCAGTGAAATAAAATTCATTTGTCTCTGCAAGAAATTGCCACATGGCTTAAGGCATAATATTTTCAATTTCATCATATAAAAGAGAGTGAGTAGTGGGCAATGAAAAAGGATGCCAAAGAGGAATTGACAGATTCAATTTCTGGTGTTGACAAAACAATATTGATAGATGATGGACTTCCAAAAAAATGTACAAATCTGTGTTAGTGGAAGTAGACACAAAATACCACACAGAAGAACAAAGATAGTGACTCTTGTGTTATTTATTTTGGACTTGTCTCCAAGAGAGATAGTTTACTGCAGAAGGACATATTTGGTACAGTGGAGAGTCAGAAAAAAAGGGAAATCTTTAGTGAGTTAGAGTGACACAGTGTCTACTGCAACAATAAGCTTAAAATAGTAATGATTTTTAAAGATGATTCAGGACCAGCTTGAGTTTCATACTGTTTTACACAAGGTTATTATGACTCAATGGGATCTAACAGCAGGAATTGATCTGTGTATCCACCACTAGCATTGGGATATAAAACAGTTCCATGACACTTAAAAATATCTTTGTCTTCCCTTACATCAATCTAATCTCTAACAACCATTGATCTCTACCAACCACTATCTGATTCATTATCACTATACTTTCGCCCTTTCAGGATAATTTGCCTTTGTGTTATTTGTAACTAACAGTAAAATTCATAAAAGCAAAACAAAAGAAAAAACACATTTGTTTTAATGCTTTGTACATTGGAGAATACACATATAACATACCTAAGAGAGACACTTATCTGAAACAAATGTAGAAGCAGGCTTCTTCCTTGAACACATAAAAAACGGTATTTCTCATATATGCATACCTAATTAAGAGTATGATACACTTAGGAGCATAATACAAAAATTATCTCTTCTGTTTACCTTGGAAATTTATGGAAATTTATGACTATCCTTCAAAATTTGACATTGAGAACATGCAGAAATTTAAAATCGATCTAAGTCAAATGTTACTAATGAATACATTAATAATATATTTTCTTAAAGCCATGGCAATTATAATTTGTAATACATTTCCAGCTGAATTTTTAATGAAAACCATTTTGTGACCCCAAGTGGGGCATCTATTTTGATTTCTGTAGTTTTCATTCTCTTTAGCTAAACTACATGTGTGTATCTCATCCAAAAATAATTTTTTTCAAGTCCTCTACAAACATTCGAGTTTTCTCCAACTTGTTCTAATCTTAATACTATTAGCCTTAATTGTATTAAGTTTCTGCTCTGTTGACATTAGTAGAGGTCATATATGCCAGTCTTCGTGTGGCATTTTCTCTTTCTTCACATGCTAAGAAAATAATCTAAGAATAATCTGGAATATATGAAGAACAGAGAAGACACACAGTCAGATGGATTGAGTCTCATTGTCTGCAGCAATGGGCTCAAATATGTCAGAAAGGATAAAGGTGGCACAGAATAGGACAGGCTTCAGATCTGTTGTTTATAGGGCTGCTTTGAGTTGTACTTGACTCAATGGCACCTAGCAAAACAACAAAACAACAATATGAAGAATAATATGGCCTCTGTATAGGAGGAACTTTTATAAAACCGTGTTATATAAAAATGGCATAACTTTGGTTGCTGAATGCAAAGAGGATTTTAAGTACTAAGTGATGAAAGACTAAAAGCTAGATATAAAGAACACAAAATCCTCACACTGAACCAATAAACATCATTGTAAATTAAGAAAAGATTAAATTGTCAAGTCTTTCATTTTACTTGGATCCACAGTCAATGCCCTTGGGAGAAGCCATTTACAAAGTAAATGATGTATTGGGCAAAGAAATCTCTTTAAGCGTTCTGCTACAAAAGACTTCTTGAAGGTATTAAAAAGAAAATGTGGCACTTTTAAGAGTCAAGGATTTATGACTCTAGCCATTGTTTAATTGTCTCAGATGCATGAAAGAGCTGGACAATGATTAAGCAAAGCTTGATGAAGAAATAATTTGAATAATGATATTAGAACATATTACTGGATAAACCATGGACTTAAATTTTATATACTTTGTTTAGTGCTCATAAGGTTTTCAAAAGCCCATTATTTAAGAAGTAGATGGTCCATCCTTTTTCCTAGTCATTCTTAATCAGAGAGCTCCACCATGCCAGTCCATGATGGAAAACCTTTTTGGCATTTGACACACCAGTGTCACAACAACCTCAAGTTATCTCAGTGCAGCAAATAGACAGGCAAGTGCTGCACCAACTTAGTCACCTAAAGCCACCTAACAACAACGTATTTGGTGTCATTGCTGACTTCAGTTGAGTCTTGTCTGAAAGTAAAGAATATAAGGAATATGTTTGTTTCTATTTTATTGACTGTGAAAAGGTGTTTGACAGTATGTATTCTGAAAGGATGACACAGGATTTGGTAAGGTTTTGTTCTTTATGAGTTGATGTTTACCCAGCGACATCTAATAACAACAATAAGTATACCTTTGACGTCTCAACCAAAAAAAAAATCTATCTTGGAGGAAGTACAGAATAGCAAAGGTGGTCCTCTGAAACAAGAATGAAGAGACTTCTCACATACTTTTAAAACGTTATCAAGAGTGGCCATTTTCTGAAGCAAATAAGCGAGCATAAGTGAAAAAAGGGTAATAACCTCAAAAACATGGGTCTGTACAGTGGCTGCATCAATGTGCTCAGACTTGGCAAGAATTATGAGAATGGTAAAGGACTAGCCAATATTCTATTCTGTAGTACACTGGGTTACTATGAGATTAAACTGACTTAAGGATATCTAACAAAAATTAGTTCCCAGTCTTAGTAGACATGTCAATAATTTAATTGCCCCATCACATAGCTCATGAAATACAAATATCTCTCATAATGAGAAAGCTAATTACTTGAGGGTGGTTTGGTTTGGTTTGTTTTGGTTTGGTTTCCTCTAGAATACTGCTTTCCCTCATAAAATACAGAATAACATTTTGGAGTCTATCTAATGTATGTTCAGTGGTGTGTTGTCATTATTTTGGAGCATATTTCAAAACAGCATCTATTTTCATTAAGAGATTTATGGTCCCTCTCAAATCCATATGTGTCTCTGGAGGCTAGGAACTATGCAAATCAGCAAGTATTTCAATTTTAGCAAAAGCAATATCAGGGGAACAGTATAATCTGATCCTCCTCATTTTTTTTTTCTCTTGAGACAATAGCACTGTATGTGTAGGGATGGATTAGGACAGCTATTGTGGAATGGTGTAGGGAAAGTTAGTCAATAATATCATGTATTCTGTGTTGGTGTATTAGGTATGATTCACATCCTTCTCCTATTGTTTGTTCTTAGGTGTGATTGAGTCAAATACAACTCATAGTGATGCTCTGAACAAAAGATCTGAACCCTATTCTATCCTGTGCCATCCTCACACTTCGTGACACACAAGAGTCCAGTGCAGCAGTCATCGTGTCAATCCACTTGGTTGACAGTCTTCCTTTCCTTCACCAACCTTCCACCCTTCCCAGCATCATATTCTTGTCCTAGGAATAGTCCCTCCAAACAACACTAAAAACAAAAATATAAAACCCATTACTCTCAAGTTGATAACTATTCATAGTGACTAAAGGTAACTGAGATTCCAAAATATCTTTTCTTTAATTCAGTCAGCCATTATCAAAATTATGCAACAGCTTCCTACAAACAAAAAATATCTTTAAGTATAACAGACATAAAAGATGAATTTCTTTTTCATAGATTTTTGAAAATACATTGGCATATTTCTTTTTCTCATGTTCTCTAATTGACAGCTGGTAAGTAAAAAAGGTAACAGATACAAACCAACAAGGATAGAATAAAGAATGCCTGGCCGATCTGATGGTGGCTGTATATTCCGGTCCTGATCAATGGCTTCAATAGGTGGGGTAACGATGATGGGGTTCAGTTCTTCCTGGAAAATAATTCAGAGTTTAGTTCATCTGCAATATATAACCTGTGGAGAACTGATACTTAAAAACTATAGCTTCGACAGTCAGATACCATCTGGGCTTGTACTTATTTATACTTAAGAGTTGAAAATATAAAAACAAATTATCAATTACTTTATGTTAAATATGAAGAATGACTAAGTTGCTCTTAGAGTAAAATTTTTTAAAAAGTAGCTATAATTGTGTATATGAAGTTTTATATTGGGAATTGTCCTAAAAGA